GTAGTAGTAGTCGTAGTCGTAGTCGTAGTGGTAGTCGTAGTCGTAGTCGTAGTCGTAGTAGTAGTAGTAGTAGTAGTAGTAGTAGTAAGGCACCTTGCTACTAAAGACTTCCACCAAAGACTTAGGATTTTCATCCAACCTTTGCGAATTCGCCAGGCAAGCCATGAAGGATGGCCAGGCTATGGCTCTCAGAGATCGATCGGAGCAATGGGTTTGTGATGACTGGAGACTGGAGATGGACGAAGGAGTCGACAACAAAGAAAGAACACATTGAACACATTGTGAGAAGAATGAACATTGGACACGTGTTTCATCAATATACAGTACATATCTCTGCATATATTATACAGAGTCTGTATTTGATGTGGAAGGAGTTTGTTGGATCCAATGTCAAATGCCCAACGCAGTTGCTGGAGGTTGACTTCTGTGTGCTAGCTTCCTCCGCGTCCCAGCCTGCTACGGATCAGGGGTTTATGGCCATGGGAATGTCGAATGCGAAACCAGCGATGTCGAAGAAACCGCACACAGTTACATCCACGGTGAAGGGCCAATCACAGTCACCCTGGTCACACCCAAAAAGGCGGCAAGGTGTCAACTGGTGTCGAAAACATGGAGAAGACGGCAAAGACATCTATGGATGGCCACAAAGGTGTTCGTTTGAGCTCTAGAGATAACAAAAACACACACACACACACACAAAAGACATCTAGATATAAGTACACAACAAGTCTCTCTCTCTCTCTATATATAAATGCATGAATACTTACATAATATTTTCAAAATATACATAGATACATACATACATACATCATAGACTGATCTCCTAAGTGCTTGCCCTGATGGCTAGCGGCTTGGGTGGCGTCTTCGAGCGGTATGCTCATTTGCAGCCAGAGCTGCCTGCCGTGTTGGATCCTTTGGAAGGGGTCTGGAGCTATCAGGAGACCGTGTGCAGTGCTGGAAAATCGGAGATGTCCTTGAAACATCCAAGAGGACCGTGTGCAGTGCCTAGTCACTCTTAGTCCTTTGGATTCCAAGTCCACGGATCAACATCGGACGATCACATCGTGCCCTCACCAGGAGCTGTGGCACTTCTCAGGGCAAATCTGCGCACACTTCCTTCAGCTGGGCTTGCGAGGCGAGATCGAGCCCAGCTCTGGGGTGGCTCCCGTGGCCCCAAGGCCACTAGCAGTTCCTTGGAGACACGACCACAGCACAGCACAGCACGAGCACTGGAGCCAAGGCTGCCAGCTTTGGCTCCATTTTTGGGTATGGGTCTAGTATGTTTAGTTACTGTATACATACAACATTATACAAGTTTAGTTGAGCTACTATCTACAGTAGTGGTATGCGCATGGACTGATTGACTACAGATTTTCACCGTTGTTTTTTTTTGTTTCTGTGTATGTATGGTCTACATGTGCAAATATGCGTGCGAGGATGGTCTTTTTCCTCCGATATATTGGGCCGATTGTGGACAGAATGGGGGATCCCAACTCATGGTTGATTCTGTTTCAACAATAGCTGTCGCCAACGTATCTATCTATCAAAGAAACAATATATATTTGATATTCCTACCGCTCGGCCCTGTTGCATTGACATTGCATGCACAAAATCAGATTTGGAAGAACTGTTGAAGACAGTGCCAGCACAATGGGTACAAATGGGTACATCGGGCTCTCAAGAGTAGAAGCGGGGATGCAGATTTGTCTGTGGCAGGCAACAAGCGTGATATGGCTGTGTCGCCAGCTGCGCATTTTTTTTGTTTGTTTTGGATGTCTTCCACATCCACCGGACTTTTTGCCAAACAGTCCGCACTTGGGATTCTCATTCTCCACTTCCAAAAGACGTACTTTATTCGGTCGTCTTCTTTTTTCCTTTTTCGGTCAAAAGCTGTCACTGCGCAGAACCGAGCTTGCAGGTTTTCCTGCAACCTGGCCGAGTTTGGTACTCTGCCTGCGTTGCTGCTTGGCGCTTGGGACTCCCCGTGGTTCCGCTGGAGGAGGACTTTGCCAAGGAGCCACTGGCCGCAGCACGTGCTCAACGTGCTCTGGCAGAGCTCCGCCCTCAAGCGGTGCTTTGCACGGGGGCTTTAGAGTCGCATGGCTGGTTTTGGTGGCCAACACCAGGGACCCGATCAAACAGGGTTGGAGGAGTGAAACGATGGTGAACCCCCCTGCAAGATGTCCAGATGTCCTTTTTGCACTTTGAAAGACTTCAGGGAAGGGGGCAAAGTGATGCGGTCCAAGGTTGGAGATTGAAGATTGCTTGAGAGTGTCTTTGGAGCAGCTGCAGAAGGTCTTGGCGGCTGATGTCATGGCAATCCCTTCCTTCCCAGTTGCGCCCGAGACTGTCCTATGCTATGTTTACACGGGTGGCACCACACGGCATAGCAAGTGTGTGGCTATCACCCATCAGATGGCATTATGGGAGGTCGAGCACTATGCTACCGCCTTAAAAGGTCTTGCTGGAAACACAGATCGCATGCTACAGTATGCATCCGCCTATTGGGGTGCAGCCCTCTTTGGTCAAATGGACTTGGCCTTGGCCTTTGGCGCTTGCAGCGTCATCCACTTGGCCAAACAGCCAGAGGACATCGCTGTGGCCTGCCGCAACTTCAACATCACCGTCCTTGGCATCGTCCCATCGCAGCTTCGAGCATGGCCCGGTGTGAAGGCCAGGCCCAGCTCCTTGCGGTTGCTGGTCACCTGGGCGGAACGAACGCCGCCAAAGCTGGCGAGGGAATGGAAGAGTGAAATCCCCGTGATCGAACTGCTGATTGCCAGTGACCAGGTTTTGACCTCGCATAGGCTGAGTCGTTTTCTTTTTGTTTGGCTGTTTCGGAGGCGCGGTGTTTTTAAAGGTTCTGGCTGTCCAGTCATATCATTTCATGTTCATCGAGGTGAATACTGGCTGTCTTTCTTCTCGGAGTGCTTCGTTTGGACAGATGTGGATGGAGTAGAACGACATGTACTTCACCCCTTGCCACAGCTGGACTTTAAGCTGCTCAAAGAAGATGGATCTGAAGCAGCGCCTGGTGAAAGTGGTGAACTCTTCCTCAGTGGAAGCACCGTTTTCGCCGGATATGTTGAAGAGACAGGAGCGGTCTGGGGGTTTGAACGTGTTGCACTGATCATTGATGCTTTGGGCAGTCCTTGGGTAAACAGGTTTGAGCGTGCAACAGAAATGTGCTCCTCAACCGACACAGCTCACAGGGTGTTGCTTATATTATGCTTATATACCTGACAAAATCTGACAAAGACAAATCAACACCTGACCTGGAAGTCAGCATGGGGTATACCCTTTCTATGGGGTTATCCGTTGATCCGATTTGACAATTTCGAGGCCAGATCTCAGAGAGTTTCTTCCAGCAAGTGGATGGGCGAAGATACTTCCGCACGCGAGATCGACTGAAACGGCTTCCAAGTTCTGGGCTTCCGGCTTTCGTCTATATGGGTCGGGCCGACTCCCTGCTGAAGATTGGTGGAGCCTGGCGGGACATGGAAGCGGTGGAGGCCACGGTTTCAGCTCTTCCTCAAATTGCAGCTTGTGCCATTGTCGCGGATGGTGATGAGTTGTCTGCATACCTTGAACTGGAGAATCCCCGTGGAGCAGATGCTTCACCAGCACGTGGGGAACCACTGAAGCGAGTTCAAGAAAGGGCCTTGCAAAAGCTGGGATCCCTTGGGATTTCTCAGGTGCCCGAGTTGGGAGGGGCGAAACACGCCAACGGCAAGACATCAGGTTTTTCATGATCAGAGTCGGTTCTCAGATCTCCAATCAGCCTCTAGATGCGTTTTTTTTAGAAGTTTTGGTTGGTACATGGTTTGGTTTGGCACCTTTGTCTCCAACCCGAGCCTGCCAGGTGCACATTTGGTCTTCCCTGCCATTGCATCCGAAGACCTCCAAGGTGAACCGGCAAGAGCTTTTGGCCGACCTGGCCCGCCGGAAGTCTCGGGAGCTGGCGTGGACGGCGAAGCTGAAGGAGGTGCAGAAGAAGATGATCAAAGGCGCCCGAAGCAAGACTCACGAACGCGGTGGCTTCTTTCGCGTGTCTTGACTCGTCCGTGTTCCGGACCTCGGCCTCTTCAATTTAAACTAGACAGAGCCAGGATGAACCCTATGCATGTGGACAGAAAGGGGGACAGAATAGGACAGAAGGGGACAGATGCAGAGAGATGCAAAGTTGGCTTTTCCATCTAGTTGGAGCCACTCTTCAAGATTCTTCAAGTCTATAATAGAATGGTAGTGGTACTGAGATGTCTATTGCACCGCTTACCAAGCAATCAGCGGTTCTCTTCTTCGGCTGTGCTGCTGGGCATGCCCAACGCAAAACCGACATGGTCTCCCCTGAAGGCTATGCAGTTTGGCACATCTTCACCATCGCCCTCGTGTTACTCTCAGGCCGCCTTCATGGCTCCAAGATGCTTCTGTGGCGGTTATTGAAGCTGCCTTATCTTTGGACAGCCTTTCTCTACTTCTGGCAGCGACTGGGGAAGAATCGACATCGATGGGTGGTGTTCAATCTTCCGGTGGGTCCGCCTGATATTTTCTTGCTGCTTGCAATGCTGGTGCCGAACTTCTTGCTGAAGCAATTCTTTCTTGTCTGTATTGCTGCAATATCTTGGTTGCGGGATCGAGATGGCATTGCAGCTTCCGGCTTCCTGTCTTTAGGCATCGCTGGGGCCTCGGAGGCCTCTGCTGCGAAGATGACAATTCTGCTAGGTCTGCTTGGTCGCTACTGCTTTCGACCCAGCAGATTGCAGTTCTTGTTGGGTTTGCCTTGTGCATACCTCTTCAGCTTTCCAAAATGGTATCGAGATGAGTTCGTTGTGCGATCCACCTGGGACAGCTCCTATCTCCGACGCTTCCTCCTACGATGGATTCCCGCTTTGCAGAAACCTCCCTTCGATGCCAGCTTGCGCTTTAAGAAAGAAGATGTGGCCTACGACTGGGGATCTGAAAAGAGATGGGTGAACGTGTGCTTGAACACGAATCTTGGACTTACTTTCTAGACTCTTTAGAACCAAAACTGTTTTGTGGAAATCCGCCTCGCAAAAAGAATGATCAGCAGCTCATGCATTCCTCTAAGCCATGAACATTTTGATTTACGCTTGAAACGGAGACTTTATGCGTCCAGAGCCATCCCTCTTTCACAGACTTTGCCAACCAGGAGAGAGTATGGATCGCTAGCACTCCTGAGCTTCTGGGAACCCGTGCGCCCTGCGATTCTTCCTCCAGAGCCGGGCGCATCCACAGCCACAGCCGCACCGGCACCAGTGCTGCAGACCGAGACCGAGCCTGGTGACGGCATGGCCAGGTCGTTGGCTTTGCTGGTGGCGCGAGTGGGTGGAGACCCCTCTGGCCTATCTTTGGATTCTTTGTGGCCTGTTGGAAAGCCAATTGAGACCCTTTTTGAAGTGCTAAAAGAATAGGGACATTGAATCCAGTGGTGCCTTTTTCCCCTGGAGCCCACCCTTTCAATCTTTGTGGTCACCGTGTCCAGCACCGCAACCACGGTACAATCTTGACTTTGAATGAAGAATCCACTTGCCAGTATCCAAAGCCAACAAATAGGGGATTCTCAAGAAGTGTTGAGAGCAAATGCCAGCTCACCCACCATGCAGGAGGTGGCTGTGATGACTTCATTCCAGACCACCTGAAATGGCCCATCTCCCCCACTGCTTAGCGAGGCAAGCGATTCGGCTGGCTGAGTTGGCCCGACACGAGCTGGGGCTCGTGCTGTCACCCGGGCTGGTGCTACGAAGTGCCGACGTAGAGACCTTAGTGGACTCCTTAGACGCTGAGGTTCAGGAGAAGTGGTTGACTTGATTCTGCTTGGTCTGCTTGGTGCGAGAAATCTTATATAAATCTCAACGAATCTCAGAACCAAGAAGTTGAGATCATCTTCAAACTTAACGTGATCTTTCCTGACGCTGGCAGTGTTGATCTGTAGTTGTAGTTTGAGGGAGTGAACGCCAGGGTCCTCCTAACACTGGTTCTTCTCACTCTGTTTCCACTGCAGCCCTGAAGGGCCAGAAGAATCTCTTCTGACTCCACAAAAAACGCAACAAGCAAACAAACTGGTAGCCAATATTCCTGACGCTTCGCGTCGACCGCCGCCCACACCTTCTTTTTTTTCGGTCGCCTGGGGAAAGACTGCTGGAGTGGACAGGGGAGGTCGGGAGTGGTGTCCAAAGAGATGGCTTGTTTCCCGTAGCGTCTATGGCCATGTTGCGGCTGAGTTACGCACAAGTTCGCTCGTTTGGTGGCCATGTTAAAGCCAATTCAGGCTCCAAGTTCGACCGTTTTGTGGCCTTGCCCCCGCTTGGCTAGTCCACATTACATCATGTCAAGGCTAGCTTGATCGTTTGGTGACCCTGTGTTGAGGCTACGTGTTTTTTTTGCAATAATGCTGGTTATGCGTTGCTGGTCAGGAGGGTTTTTCAGCATC